ATCTTCAATCCTTTGTAATCTTTCAATTATTAATAAAATATTTTCCTTTTTGTGGCAACAATGGTTGTATAAATGGCATTCGCTATACCTTATGATTTTGCTAGTGCATTCATGAACTAACTCGTGGCTATATTGCGTGCTTGTTTTGATATAAGCAATTTCTTGGTTGGCTTTTATGGAAGCATCCACTAGGTGACATGCTAGCTATAACGAACTTAAGAAAAGGGACTTAGTCCGTACCAACTTGGGGTGCATGTTTGCTTCTACCTTAAGGGTAGATAAAGGATACTTATGTTTCAATAGAGTCCAATTTCAAGTTGCAAGTGGATAGGAATACTTATGTCTCAATAGTTCGATTTCAAATTGCAAGTGTTAACACTTTGTAAGTAGACAAAGAATTATGTCTCAATAGTCCAATTTAAACCCATAGAGATTGACAAATTGACTATCATTTCATAAGGGATAAGGTGCTAGAAGGTATAATTCATATCAACTTGCAAGGTATTGTCTGTTTTGGCCCTATTGGGTTCACAATTTTGTCCCACAAAAAAGTGCCTCACAAGTTAAAGATAGTGTGAACACTTAAATATCCAATCTCACTTTAGTACATATAACTGATGTGAGATTCATAGATTCCCTTTGAGATTATGGCACAGTGCACATCTTAAGAGCACTATTATAATTGAATAGGCTACTAGTGTGAGGTTAAGAGCACGATATCAATTCTATCAACACTATTATAATTTCCTAATTCTTGCAGTTGTCTCAATTCTCCCATCAATCTCTAATAATATAAAGCCAATTGCAAGAGGAAAATGATATGTAATATAGGATTCATTTGGTAATCGAAAAATAACTTGTTGAGGGTAGATTTTTTCTATGTAAAATATTTTATAGAAAAATTAATATTTTCAATTGTTTAGACAAACTATCAAAAATATTTTTGTTGTTTTGATTATCCTATGAAAAATATTTTTCATCATCACTGATGGAGTTATATGAGAGTTAGAATGATAAATATGAGTTGATTATAAAATAATGGTACCATTTGATTTTCACTAATTTGGGATCAAAACTAGGAATGGAAATGAAAATGGACAAAATCAATAATGATATTTTTCAAAGTATTTAACCACATATTTATAATGAAAGTGCATTTTAAATTTCAGAAAAAAATTTCCATTTCATCAAATTTTTATCATAACACTATAAAAAAATCAATATCCACCAATTGTGTAAATCATCTAAAACCTATACTCAGAAATGTGTATTTATCGAATGATGATCATTGAAATATTTTTTATTATAATTATTAATAAGATTTATTCAATTTATAAATAAAAATTTTAATTACATTGAATGATTTCATTAAAAAATATTTTTTCCAATTTTAATAGTGTTGAATAATTTTTATATATTAATATTTTAAGTCAAAAAAATTTTAAGCTAAATATTAATATTTCAAATATTTTAAATGAAATATTATTTTTAAGCTTTTTTATATTTTGAGTTAACTGTTGTTATTCATGAAACCTATATTTATAAGTTTAGTATAAAAGTTTTTTTTTTGTTTTAAAAATGTCTCATGTGCTCAAGAGCATGAGCGGATCCATGTTGGAGGTAGTGGTGTCACTTCCTAAAATGTTTTAGTTTTTATACTATTTATCTAGGGTTTATGGTAATTAATATACTAATGAACCCAATATTTTTTTTCTAATTTTATAAGGAGTGGGATCAAAGAATCTAAGTAAAAATGATTTATCAAAAAGTAAATTATGTATTAGTATTTAAATACTACAAGGAAAGATAAAAAATTTTCTATCTATAATTTAAGATTTTATTAAAAAAAATCAAAACCTAAACTGCATTCTCTATCTAAAAATTCAAGTCCTTCTCCTTCTTGGTCCTTGGTGTGTTTTTCAAAAGAACTCATCTAGGCTTCAATTATAAAAAAATTTTAACCCAAATTAATTTTTTAAATACTTCATGTCTATATTTTTTTGATTAATTAGATAATTTGGATTCATAATTATATTATAGTTAATAGAAAATAGTATTGCATGTCAAATAATATTTTAAAATTATGTGTCTTTTTTTTAATTTATTTTGTAGATATATTATTTGATTTTTTAATTTTTTTATTTAACTTATGTGGTTTGTGGATGCTTATATTTAGTTTTAATCAATGAATAGAAATTGTCATATTGTTAATTATTGAACCTGATAATTTGTTATTTAAGATCATATTTTATTTAATTTTAATATCTTGATTTGTGCCAATTAGTAATTTTAACAAGTTTTATAATTTTAGATAAATAAGTCATGAAATTTTATTTTTTTTTGAAAAAAAAGAAATTGTCTTACAAGATTTAGATTCGAGGCAACAACAAATTCTACTAAGAACGATACTGAATAATATTCTTCTAAAAAAAGTCATATTAAATTTGATTTAAGTATTCTCCCAGCAGATCCTATGTAAAGGAAAAAAATTTCTAAGTATCATCTTAAGTGACATTATTTAGAAGAATTTCTAAATATTTTATATTTAAAATAAATTTTTTATCTTTTAAATAAAAATAAGTCTCGAAAATAATATTTATAACAGATCTATAGAAAAACAAGAATCTCCTACTGTCTGGTAACAAAAAGAAGCCTTTTTCGTGCTGGTAATTTCAGAGGAGAACATAGAAAAAGAAATTAAAGAGGTGAATATCAGACTTGACATGGTCGTTGCGTCGGTCATAACAATAACAAGTCGCAAAGGATGGCCCCCTCTGTCTGCACCCTTCTGATTTTAGGTCATTCTCTCACCTTATAATGCACGTAAGAAGGCATGTGTGAGGCCAGTTTTTCGTTTTCTAGGGGTCCATGTGTGTTCCTCTTTCAAATCACTTGGGAGCTGCCAAATGTAAATCCTCTACTCGAATTCAAAGTAATTTTCTAGTCTAGGCAGGCAAAGCGGGAGCTTCTGTTCGAGATTTGGCCTGTCCATTAATTAATTGCCCGGATTTCTTCAACTAGCATACCATTCGACGAAGAGTAAAAGAAGAGAATAAATGGCATACCTCAATTCTATTAAGAAAACATACGACTAATGTGGCATATAAAGCAGCAAGATTGATGTTCGTATGTTGAAAAAGTACTATCTTTCGACTTGATTTCGAAAGCAAAATCAGGTTGGTTATGTAGTCAACTGGAATCATGACAACAAATTAATGTCATGTAGGGGCATTATTTAAAGTTGATGTTAGCATACTGTACCACCAAGGGATTCAGTCGTTTTCTGCCAGCTTAATTTAAGCAGGCATGACTTGGACAAGGTAGAGAAAACATATTACCATGTCCTTTCATTGACTTAGCTAGTCTCTCCACAATAGCAGCCCTTTTCCAGTTCCAAGGATTCACTCCTTAAAGATACCATATCGAACGGTGCTTTCCGAAGGCGTGTCGTGTAAGACCATTGGCTTTAGACCGAACAGTGACAGGTTCATTTGAATTCACTTACTGTGAGCCCGTCAGGCCCTTGGACCTCGAACTTGCCCACAAAACGAAAGATATTGAGATGGAGAGGTATTGATTGGATTCAGCCCAGAGTTTGACGTTATGTGAGATAAGACAAAGCTAGGTTTAATAATTTTAAATACGACACGTTAACAAGATATAAGAAGATATAATGTTAAGTAAATTTGAGTTTAATTTTAATATATTTTATATCTAATAGTATCTAATATATTTAAAATATAAAAATTTTCATATCTTAATGTATCAAATATGAATAATACATTTAAAATATATTTAAATTCGTTTAATTAATAATATTAATCGTATTATCATGTTTAAACGTATATATGTAACATATTTATCAGCTTGTTAAAAATTAATACTTAAAGATTATTTTAATTTTACTTAAATAATTTTAAATAATTATTTTAATAAGTTTTTTAAATTTTGTAAAGATAATAATGTAAATATGTCGTACTTAAATTCTAATTTTGCACTTTTGTTTTGTTATATTTGATGTTATTATTTTTTTATTATAATTATTTATTTTAAATTTAAATAATAAAATTTTATTTAATTATAAATATTTTTATTTAATCGTATCAAATATGTTAATCATGTTATTAATCGTACTGTATCATATATCAACACGTTTAATAAACGTGTTAATTGTATCATATCATATTACACGATAATTAAATATATATATATATATACATATTTTATATTTAAAATTAAATATAATGTCTTATATATTTAAAATACGAAAATATACGAATTGAGAGGTTTAATTAGAACCAATGCAAAGTGGTACGAGTGATGAAAGCGAAAGATTACGACTTTTTGCAGTCCAAACTCTCCGAAAGCACACGCAATTATGGAGGCCACAATTCATTCCAGTCCTTCCATGAACATCAACAACTCCAATCACCGGGGCGAGTGTGGGCAACCACAAAGGAAACTTCCACTCAATCCTACTTTCCAAATTGCGCTCCCCTTTGAGCTCTAAAGCATCATGGGAGAGGGAGCCAAATCTATGTGGGAAGGCAGCGTGAGTTCCCAATCCCAATAATAGGTTCCACTGCCTAAACAAATATCTAGAGTTATAGTGGAACAAAAAGGCCAACATATGTACCTTACAAAATCGAATTGGAGATAAGTAGAAACATCCCTTTTTCCCTTCTTTGATGCAAAAGGAAATCTCAGAAAGGCTAAAAAAGGAAAACAAATTAAACAATCGAGACCACCCGAAGGAAATGTTCCATTAATCATATACAGTATTATAACAAATGATTCGATGTTAGCTTGAATTTCTCTTTTTCCAAATAAATAAAGAGCTGAAAGAAAGTGACGGTTGGAGGGGGGCTGTTCTTGGTGTAAGAAAGAAAGAAAC